TGAGGACCAAAATTTTCCTTTTTTCTTCAAGTAATCAGTTCAATGTGCATATAGTTGACGATTTTTTGGAAGAAACGTGATTTTGCGTTCCCGAATTAGAATCGTGTAAGAAATGCAATTCTTAAGAGAGAAAATCGTGTTTCGGTATGAGATGACAACGTCTGTGAAAATCAAACAACTCCGTTCTCTCCTGGACACGACTCTTCTCTCTCATCGGATTCGACTATTCTCTCTCGGACACGACTCTTTACAAACGACAAACGAAATGAAAGAGTAGAGAGCAAGAAAGAACTTGGTCATCGTTCGAAAGAGCGAAAACATCGATCGCCGACTTCGATCCCTCTGGTTGCTGCTTCGATAGCTTCAACTTTCGCTCGATGCTTGATCTCCTCTTCCTCTCCTCTCGTCTCTCGATCTCTCTCTTCTCTCATTCTCCCTCTACTTTCTCTCCTCTTTTCTTCTGTTGACTTCTCTCTTCTTTATTCTATTTTCTTTGTCTTTTCTTCTCTCTCTGTTCTCTTTTCTAATATTTTTTATTACATCTATATTATATGATATAAATTACATTAATATAGTAATATATAATTTTATTCACTCAAAAAAAATTATATAAAATAATATGTCATAAATAATATAATTTTTATATCTAAAATAAAATTAACATATTTTACCATATATAATATAATTTATTTTATATCTATAATAATTTTTATTATTTATTTATATTTTATTTTATTTTTTAACAAAATCTGTTATTCCTTAGTTTTTTTTTAAAGTTAATTACCTAAAAGTTCTATTTACAAATGTTATGGTAGCTAGGGCTATGCACAATACCGCCAAAATCGCACCAAATCAAGTCGAACCGTGCATTTTTTTTGGTTTTTGGCGGGCAGGTTGGGTGTCCAGAACATGCGGGTTGGCGCGGGTGGCGGTTGGAGGAATGCAACCCGCCGGATCTAACCGACCCGACCTGCTCACTTTTTTAAAAAAATTTATTATATATATATATATATGCGTATAGACACAACCAACAACACATGTTCCAACAACATTTACTTACATACACTCTCACACACACAATCAATTCCCAAATTAAATCCTAACACACCCCTCATCTCATCGTATTCAACATTTGTCTCACATTCATCTCTTGCTCCTCCACCACGCCGCAATCATCTCTTGCTCCTTCACCACGCCGATCGCCATCGCCGTCACCTCTAATAGCCTTGCCGGTCGCCACCGCCGCTAGTAGCCTTGTCGATCGTCGTTGCATCTTCTCCACTGGCTAAAGTTTTGACAACAACTCTGTGAGTTCTACTATGTTTTTTTGTTTTAGTTTGCTTGTTTTACAAATTTTGGTCGATTTTCCCTTTCTCCTTCTCATTTTGGTAGATTTTGCTTCGTATTTGCATTCTTATTTAATTTTGTTTACTCTATGTGAGCCTTTTGATAATGGTTGGCCCTGGTTTCACTTTCTCTTATTCTATGTTTAGGGAATAAATTCTTTTTCTTTTTTTTTTTTGAGTAAAATTTTGAGTATGCCCATAAAATTTTGAGTTGGCCCCTGGTTTCACTTTCTCCTATTTCTTTTTTTCTTTTTTCTTTTTCAATATGCCCAGAAAATTTCCATATGCCCAGAAAATTACTCATTTACATTCTCTATTTAGGGAAAAAAATGCCCAGAAAATTTTGTTCTCATCACATTACATTCTCCTCAATTCTCTTTGTATATACTTTCTTTATATATATATATATATATATATATGTATTTGTATGTAATTTAATGGTATCCTATGTATTTATAGAAAGTGAATTTTGTGATACATTGAATCAAATTCGTTTCTTTATTATTTTACAGGCAATGACATTTTTTTTTTACTAATCATTTTATGGTTTCTTCTATAATGAATTGTTTTATGAGGGTGGGATTCCACGTTGAATAAATTTCATTGTTAATATCACAAGATGTTGGCATCACAACCTAATGCTCTTTTGGCTGTCAGTAAATGTTAAATGGTAGGGATAAAAAAAAAAACAACACTATTGGCTTTTACATATTTGTATGGGATGAAAATTTGTAAGGAATGGGAAGGAAAATTATATGTTTTGAAAATAATACGTTTATTGATGTGTTTTGAACTTAATCTTCCTACCTAGATCAATCAGCTAGAAATTTTTTAAAAAATCTTTGATTCAAGTTTTATAATTTGAATTATTTTTTTTGTTTAAATAAACCGTCAATCTGCCCGAACCGCCAAGTTAAACCTGTTATTATTTATTAACCGAACCGTCGGTTTTTGATAAACAAAATGGCAATTTCTAATGTCAATTTTGTCTATCCGCCACCCGCCGTACGGTTTCTATTTTACCCATCAACCGCACCGACCCGCACCGCGTACACCTCTAACGGTAGCTCAGGTCCTATTTAAGATTTTTTGAACCAATAAGTTCTATTTAGTAAAACTGAAAATATTATCAGTTTTTCACAATTTTTAAAATTAAGAACATTTTCAATTTTACATAGTAATATTCTAGATAATTGTTTTACTAGCTGATGAAAAAAAACAAAGCATGAGATTAAAAGTTTTTGACCTTCTACTTATTGGTTTGATTCAACTATCCAATAAAACAGAGAACATTACCAATTTTTTCCAATTTTAAAACTGAGAACATTATCAGCTTTTTCATTTTTAAAGTTTCATTTTTTTTTTTTCAGTTTTACACATCAATATTCCATCATCATGCTCCTTTATAGACACAATTTTCAGTTTTGCACAAAAAATTAATTCAAATTTTTCAAAAAAAAAAAATTCTTTTCTTTTTGCACATAATTTTTATTTTTTAGTTTTTTCAATTTCAAAATTGATGTTTTAAAGTTTTGAAAATCAAAATAAATATCAAATCATCATGTTCCTTTATAGATAACCATAAATGATGAACAATTATTGTTTGAAAGGCAATTCCGACTATTAAAAATTTAATGGGACTTGAAGGTCCAAAAAATCTTACTTAAGACTAATGGAATATAAGTTCATACATTAAGACTTGTGTGTAAATGTCCTTTTTTTTTAAAACTCATCTTTTTCCATTTATAACATATATATATATATATATGTCAATTTATTTATTAAAAAAAATATGTACATGTATGTCAATTAAAACTAAAAAATTTTTATATAGATAAATTAAAAATATAATTAATAAAAATAATATATAAGAGCTCCTAATCTACGACTCCTCTAAGTGGTCACGTTCCCCTACTCCCGCTCCCGCTTCGTGCAATTATGTATTATTTTCAATTGTTCTTTTTGAATGTGATGCTAAAAACACATAAGGAAATGTTTTGCCATAACTTATCCCCTCTGAGAACCATCATTTTAAGCTTGAAGGGTACAACAACAACCCAGGTTGTTAAGATCAGGATCCTACATAGGATCATTTTGGGAGTCTGCTAGATCGAATTGAGGATCGTAAGATCCTACTAAAATGATAAAAGAACAAAAAAAAAAAAGCAATATCAAAATTTATATAGAATGACCCAAAAAAACATGAGGATGTAGCTCAAATGGTAGAGCTCTCATACTTGCTTCATAATTGCTAAATTATAAAGTTTAAATGAGCAGATCAAGGTTCAAATGCTTATAACCAGGAGCATTTTTCCTCTTCTTTCCTTTTCCTGAACCAGAGGCCGACATTGTGACAGACCGAGTAAATTTAGGCAAAAAAAGGGGAAAATTTTGTGTAGAATTGTGCTGAAATTTTTTTTTGGTTAAAAGAACTTTTTTTCCAGCATAAGTTTAGGGAAAAAGAATCAAAGTAGATAGAAGAGGGGAAGGGGAAAAAAAAACAGCATGCAGTCAATCACGCAGAAGGGAAGAAGAAATGAAGAAGCAGAAGAAGTAGGGGAAAAAAGAAATTGGAAGAGCAGCGGAGAGAAGAAGAAAATCTATGTTAAATTCGAGTTGAAGAAGAAGAGTACCAGGTTCAAGAAAATCTGAAGCTTTGTGGTTCAACCTCTCTTTCCCCAATTTGTCTTGCCATAATCACATGAAACAGCCTTGGTGAAATGTATTTTGTCTTCTGTTTTCCTTTTCAGATACGTATTTTTATGTTTGAGTGCAATATAAAGTAGAGATTTGTAAGAAATTGTTTTTTATTCTACCATGCTTTTAAGAAGTAGGAAGAGTTGTAATGAGTACTCCTATATTTCATTCAATAAATCGTATTACTATGTATGAGCATCTCAAAATCACACACAATCAGCAGCAACACACAGAAACAAAATAAGTTCTCTCTTATGGGCATATTATCAAACACATAATATGTCTGTATATATTAATAAAACCCAGAAAAACCACAAGCATACAAAGAAAAAAAGAAAGAAAACATATAGATATTCCCTAAACAACCCATAATCAAATTCAATCTTCAAAACTTAGCAAGATATTTTGCCCAATAAAAAATAGAAACCTAGATTATTAACAATCTCAACAATATATCCTAACACGAACAATCTCAACAATATATCCTAATACGAATGAATGAATCAATAGTAGGGATATACACGAGTATCAAAATCAGAGAAACAGTGAAGAGATCGGAATGGAATGCGTACCTCGAAATGCTGGGGAAATGGTGAAGAGAGATCAGAAGCAAAAAATCCGAATGTAGATCTGAATCGAAGAAGAAGGTCTCGATTCTCAGATCATCTCTCTATGCTTTTCTTCTCTTCTTTGTCAGTGTCTCGATCTTGATGCCTTGGGGGCGTAAATTTGAACCGACCCAAAATATTTTGCCCAATAAAATATTTTTTTGACTGGTGAGTCGACTCGGCCCAAATTTTAGCTGAAGTTTGCGAAGCTCGACATGCCAGCCCAAATATTTTTTTGACTGGTGAGTCGACTCGGCCCAAATCTATATACTCATATTCAGATATATATATATATAATATACATAGATGTAAACCCTAGATCCAAATCCCTAGAAAGAGAGAGAGATACCAGCGACGGAGGAGCGTCGGACCGTCGGTGAGGGAGGATCGGAGGATCGCCGGTGGTGAGGTGGGAGGCGCGGCGGTGACAGATGAAAGAGAGAGCGAGAGACCAGTGGCGAGCGAGAGAGAGAGAGGAGCGCCGTGTGTGAGTGAGAGGCTCGGTGGTGACGGAGGATCGCCGGTGAGGAGGGAGGGGCGTTGGTGGCCGATGAAAGAGATGAGAGGGAGAGACCAGTGGCGATGGCGAGCGAGAGAGAGAGGAGCGCCGTGTGAGTGAGTGAGTGAGAGTGAGAGTGAGAGTGAGAGGCAGAGGCTCTGTGTGTTTGTGTCTGTGTGTGAAACCCTAAACAAATATATATATCCAGGGACAGAACTGTAATTTCACCTCGGGGATTGAGCGGGGCGGGGCCGGGGTCGGGGGTCGGGGCCGGGGCCGGGGCCGGGCCGGGTCTGAAACACCTATCCCCGTCCCCGGCCCGGATATCATCGGGGATGAATTTTTGAATACCATCCCC